AAAAAAAAAAAAAAAAAAAAAAAAAAAGAAGCCTAATTGCCAAAATTTTTTAGAATTATATTTTCAGATTTGGTCATATTGACTGTTTCAGATAAACAGATAAATTTCAAAGTGACGGCAAAAACTTCACCTATTTTCTCACTATTTTATTCGAAAAAAAAAAAATCAGCACATATTCATCTAGATTTCTTCCTTTTTTTCTCTTCTTTCCTTCTGCTTTTGTATTTAGGTGCAAAATTATTTATGAGCAACGATAAAGTCACAAAAATATTGTTGGAGTGCAAAATAAGTGTCTGTACTACTGACCGTTACTGATCAGCCTAAAATTAGATATTATGTTCAGATTTATTGCCAAATCTTTATAAAATCATTCATTTTAACGCTGAAAAAAAAAACACATTTTTTCTTTTGCAATCACCCACATAATCATATTAAAATTTATCAGTGTTTTGTCTAAAATCTGAAATACCTCGTTAACATATCAAAACAAAAAAAATAAAAATTATAATTGTCTGGTTTTTTGTTAATCTTAAAACAAGATTCTCGGTCGCTATTTAATGTCACAATGACTGTTCTTCTCAATATAGAAAATTTGAATATATATTCTTGTTAAAAGTAAAAAGTCTTACTTTTTCATTTGTTCAGATAGGTAACGAACTGTTTTTTCAGGTAATAACTGTCTTAAAAATACTTATAAAGTTACTGTTTAAATAGATATTAACAGCGAGAAAAGAAATTTTATAAATTATAACTGTAAAGAAGAGATGTGATTAGACAGAAATCTGTAACTTTTTTAACTAATTTACCTTAATCTTGTTTACAATAAAACTTATAAATTTTTAACTTCTCTTTTCAAAATTTAAGGTACGATGAAACTGCTTCTGTTTGTGCTCTTATATTTGTATGTAATAAGCCTTGTAGATGGTACTGACTTCGCACCACCAATAAATCTTATGTAAGTTTTAGCTTCTTCCACTAACACCTGAAAACAAGATAGACAAATTTTAGCTAGTCAAATTATTCTTAGTTAGTGCATACTGCTTAATATGTATTAATATTAGGTGAAAGCTTTGAAAGTGACTAAAAGTTTTTTTTTTTGAAGAAGACGTCTGAAAAGACAATTTCCGTATGGAGGCTACGGAGGTTATGGTGGTTATGGAGGCTATGGAAGAGGAGGTGGCTTTGGAGGATATCCTTCTATCTATAATCCATACGGTGGCGGTTTCGGCGGTAATTACGGCGGCGGTTACGGTGGTGGTTATGGAGGCGGTTATGGCTCTGGCTACGGCGGTTATGGCTCTGGCTACGGCGGTTACGGCGGTTTTGAAAGATACGGCAGTGGTGAACTGTAGAATTCTACAAACATAAACTTTAGGTAGTCAAATGTTTCCATATCGGAATACCAACGGAATAAGATGTAACGCTTAAAAGACTAATATTTATTAATTTATTTATTTTTGTATTTTTTGTCACTTTGTTCTACTGTAATAGTGAAATTAATTTTATAAAACGTAGAAGTGAATTTGCAAGTAATCTGTAGTTTCAAATTTAGCCAAACTAATTACTATTGCGATCAGGAAACGTTAACAGTAGTTTTTATGTATCGCTGTCGATAACTGATTCATGTCGTTCTACAAAAAAAAAAAAAGTTTGAAAAAAGTTTTGTCATACATTAACAACTAATCAAGTTTGAAACAAAACATTGCTGATCAAAAAAACAACCAAAACAAATAAATTTATCATTTTTTGAACGGTTAAATTCAATGTCAATCACAGATCGCTGCTGCTTGCAACTAGTCTTACTTAAACTATTCACTAAATATTCAATATGACCTTGAATCTCAGATTATCACTAATTGAGGTGACTGTTAGAGAAAACTTATAAGTGAACTTTTTAAATTATTATATCAGTTAACAAATCTTTTATCTACCTTTCAAGAATTAGTGACGTTCAAGAATATAGTGCTAAAATAAATCAACGCTGAACATATGTCAGATAAAAAAGTACTATATTTATTACGGCGTAATTTATCTGTAAAACAGGTGCCGTATTTTAATCTGTCTTTAAAAAGTACAATATTAACTTTGTTCAACATAATTTAATCTATGTAAACAGTATTTTTACTGTCACAAGAGACGACCGTCAAAAAAACTGGAGAGCCAAAACGCTAACAGTTTAGGCTTATAAAACTGAACTTCGACATTTATTTGTCGAAGTTTTTTTTTGGAAACTGACGAACTCTCTCAGCTTATACAAAAATATTACAGAAAATAATTTCTTTTAAAATTATACAATTTTATCGATATGCCAAAAAAGGTTTTAAAAAAAAGTTTAGAAAATAATAGCAAACAAAATAAAACCTACTTTTCTTTCGCTTACATCTTTGTAAGACATTTACATTACTTTATAACTGATAATAAAAAGCAAAACAGTAGCCAAATTTCAATTCAATTAGGGGTAAAGATAAAGTATACAGTTGTTGAATACACTTCTTAATTGTTGTTTAACTTTTTGTCACTCACACGACAAACGTTATCTTTTTTACTTTTACTTTCAAAACCTTACGTCCTCAGGGTTACGTTTAGGCTTAGGGTTCAGCGTCAGGCTTAGATTTAGCTTCAGGTTTACACTTAACCCTCAGAGTTAGGCTTATGCTTAGGAAGATCAGGTGATGGCAAAGTAGTAGATGATAATTAACAGTAAAAGGCATAAAGATTAAGCTTGAATTGGGTTTAGTGTTGCAACTTGAGGATTACATATGTTATTAAATTAGAAATTTAGGTATACTATTTTTGGCTCAGGTATACATTTGATGTGCACAAAGTTACTAAAGTACGCTGAAGAAATTGAATTGTAATGGTTAGGTTTAGTAAATTAAGTTTTGAAGATTAGGGTTATTGAACTGAGCTTAAAGCTTTAAGGGTTAGAGCAGCTACGATTTATACCGTCAGTTGTGAGAGATCAGAGCAGTAAACAGGTGAAGAATCAATAAATGCTTATTGAAGAACTGATAACAACACAGGAATGAGAAGAAAGAGTAGTATAGTAAATTGAAAATTAGAATATGACATTAAGAGATGGATATTAATTATATAAAGAAAAAGATGTGTTAATTGTTATTGTTTGTCTCCATGCTCGCCGTGACTCGTTGATTCGTCTATCACCGGCTTCTGTCACGCGGATCTTTCCAAATGATAAAAAATTTTATTCCGTCGCTATTCAACGTTACGAATACAGCATCAAACCTGGGTAATTAAAACCATGGAGAAGCATAAAATAACAACAACGAATAATATAAACACGCGGAATCACCAATATATACATTTCGAGCACAAGCTAATAACATGAAAAAGGACATTAAAAAGTTTGTTTATTAACAGTAAAATTAGTTGTGTGTTTCTGATTGAGCGTTAAGCGAGGAACGGTTCTAGTGAGCCTGAAGCTTGAACCAATAGCTTAATTTTTAGTTCTGATTATCGTTTCTCTGATTGTAACTTGTTGCGTTTATTACGAGCGAGTCAGCTTAATTATTATTATGTCATGTTTCATTAGTTATGTCATGTTTCTAATAATAAAGGTTCAAGTACCCATGTTTGAGGTTTCAAAAACAGCTAGATCAACGGGTCCTTTAGAAGAAAAAACGCCATTTTTTTTTTTTGCGAGGTGGAGCATTTTATTTTTGATCTGTGATGATGAATGGCGTGGTTACAACTTTAAAGAAGTATTGAGCCATTGCAGATGAAAAAAAATTTATCTGAGTTACTGATATTGACTCTGAACCGTTTCTTATATTTTTGTTGTAAAAGTTGTTACGTACAGCAGTAGAGTAATTAATTTGCAGAGAAAAGTAATGAGGAAACATTGAAAAAAAAGTCAGTGAACGAATAGCTCAAATACAACTAACGCTTTTACAAATAATTTTGAGTTTTTTGGTGTAACAGATTATCAAATTGTCGAGAAGAATCCTGAAGCTTGAAGAGACATTCTGAACGGTGTTACGCAGTACTATTACGAAATTACGCCGTTTTGCTTTGAAATACCTTTATTATCTTTGAGAAATTCATTGTCTTCAACACGAAGAACTGAGCTATAAATTTATACTTGTCCATCGTTCTTTGTATTTCCCCTTTTAAATACTCAAATTAAAAGTCAATATTCAAGCGTTAAACACTGTGTTTAGAAAAAACTTTTCAATTTCTGTTCAAAATCGATTTAATATCAGTTGCAAATTTGAAAACTGTTAAGTTCAGACGCCAATATAAACTTTAGGGCAGGAGGTTAACTCAACTGTCAGTTTCAATTTTGAATGTGCAGCAGACAAGTTAGAAACAGGAATCTTACTGTTTACGCACTATTATTATTGGCATCTGAAACATCATTTTCAGCTTTGTCGTCATCGAGAAAATTTTTGATTTACTTTTACAATTATAAATTACCATTACTGGTCTATCGAGAAATAGAAGATAATTTGTTGAAGTTAACAGAAGAAAAAAGGCAGAAGTATTTGTTAAAAATTAAAAATGGAAAGGAAAAAGTATATCCAAATTTATATACCATCATTATTTCATTTACATTTCAGTCTACAAACTCTTCACAAAAACCTTAAAGTTACTTTACTTTTTTTTTGTCAATTTATATAAATTTTTTTTAAATGCACCTGAAACAAATTATTAAAGTTCTTCTCGCCTATACTAATTTTCTTGACTTAGCTTTTAGTAATTTTTTACAAAACTTATCAACTTTTAATGAGGATAACAGTGTTTATTAGGCTAATAGGTTATCTGTCTGTTGACTTTTATATGTCTTTTTTTTTTTTCGCCAATGAAGTCTACTTTTAATTGGCGGAACTAATCGGCAAAAAAAGTTGTTTCGGATGTCGATTCTGCTTTGTATAGTAAAAGGAAGAATTTGACTGATTGGGAATAGTCTGCATAAAGAGCGCTTTGGTTACAGCAATGTTCCACATCGCCTTGTCCCGCTTTCTTAGGAACAGTTTTGATAATTGCATTTTTTAAGTTCATTTTAGAAGCCTTTTTTTACATTCACCAACGGTAACTTTAAATCATATCAACACTTTTTATTTGATTATCTTTATCAGTAAAAACAATTGAAAGCAGCAGATTTGTTTGGGCAACAATAGAACGTGACCTACGTGCCAGAGTCAGTCAGATGAATCACAAAAAGTTGCGATTTTATTAGACAAACAACAAAAATTTTTTTTACACTTAAAGAAATCATTTGCTCTAAAATGTTGAAAAAAGATGACCAACAAATTGATAAACACTTCTACAAAAAGAAACCTCTCTACAGCCAGTTTTGTTGAATATAAAATTATATTCAAAACTTATATTTGAAGCAACGTTTTGTTTCTGTACACATTTTGCTGTATTGTGAAAAAGAAAAAGGAATTGTTGAAAGAGCAATTAAAGTTTACAATT